TTGATACAGCAGCCCACGCCGGACCCTGTTTAGTCTTCGAGACTCCGAGAGAAGGTGAAGAGTGCGGAGCCACTAACTACTTCCTCTATCACTTAAAACTAACCCCTGAGACCGTAACCTTCTGTACCAACCTATTGGTTCAGTTGGTGGACTTCATCGAAATCGATGGTCGAACACACACACATATGAACACACAAGACGTGCCGTCATGTTTTCTGTCAAACCGTATTAAAAAGATGTCTAAAGGTTTCTATGTACAGTTCACTATCAATGGATAGAGAACAGAAGATTCTTAGTTTTGTGGAAAATCGTAGTGTATACTCTGCTATTTCTTTGTACTTTTGCACTCGTAGAACGGGACCTAAAAGCAAAGTAGTATACTGAAAACTGCTCCAGTATACAGAGAAAAGTAAATTCCTGCGTTTTCAGAACAAGATTTATCCCTAATTCACAGGAACGTCAATAAATCGGTCACCATTTGCTATTTTTATGTTGACTTAATGTTCGAAACAGGTAAATTACGCAGATAGTTGACGCTGAACTATCTGATTAAAGCGTTATTCCAAGAGGTAAGTTAATATAAAAAGCTATTTAATTGATCTTACGCATATTTACATCAGACGGTCATTTTTCTCGGCCACCAGTTCACATTTTTGGCGGATTCTGAACTGCCAACTCCCAATTTCGCGTGCACGCTCAGTCTCTCGCGGCTGCTAGCACTGTGCTAGCTCACTGTGCCGACTGTCATGCTCTCACACTTCGGATGCCGCCCCTCTGGGGTGTGGACGCACGTTTATTCAAAGACCAACCTCTTCCACCCTACTATCCACTACCTCTGTACAGAATATATACAAGCAAGCTAAACCCAAAGGTGAGTAGTAACAGGGCTCTCATTTAGTTGACTGTCTCTCTATCGAACTTTCATTCCAATTTAATTTATTGCTATCAGTAGGTAGGGCAACCAGTACTAGGCGCCTCAGCATTCACACACTACATCTGGCAGCAGTTCCTAGTCCTCGTAGTCCAAAATTTGTAAAATCTGATAGAGGTGGGGTTGCGGGGGACAAGGCCAGCCATGACGTGCTTCGTCCACGAACACGTATAACTCGGAATTGACGTAGACCGGACATGAGCCTTCGCGCTGACGCAAATCAGCATCAACTCTTACTTGCGGATTGGACAGATATAGCAACAGTACTTCTAGCACTCCGCTAAATTGGCTGCAGGTAACCTGCAATTATGCTAAGACTATCACAAACGAGGCGTTGTATTAGGCCTGCAGACAGCCTATAGACGGAAAAAGGCGACGTAGGACATACAGATACGCTAGAACTTTGTGCTACTAGTTAAAAACGCTTTCTCTTAATCCCTCAACTATTAATCTACTTTAGCCCATGCAGATTGGGGATGCATACTGGGTGCCGGCTTCCTAGAGGCACACACAGGCCGTATCATAATATACTAGTTAATAGTCTTAGTAACTATGGAAGCGTAGAGTTGAGAGGGAGGAAACCAAGGCAAGCCCTGATATGGCCAGGGCCTCAAACATGTATTTACTCGAAATAACTTTAACCCATATTTCGCACTCCTTGTTGAGAATAAAGGAGGTATGAGCTCCAGCGTTTAATTCAAATCAGCGTCACCAATGTTAGCGCCAGAAGTAGTGCCAGTATTACTAAGGCCCGGTTATATTGGTAGTTAGTAGTAGTATAAATAGTACTAACCCTATCAGTCTCGGCCTGTCTTGAAACCTACTAAGAGTAAGGGTAGGTAATACCCGCGTGAAGTGTACCGCCAATTAAGACAGGGCTGAATTTACAAACACAGATTATTCCATCATCAAGTGAATAGAAACCGGCAACTTCAGCAGCGAGTTATACCATCTTTTAGGTAGAAAATCCTGTTGATTTCAACTGGCAGCTACTAATGACAAAGTCAATTAAGACGAGAATGAGGCTCCTTTACAGAAAATCACTCATCAGATAACCAGTTTTAGGAGCCGCCCTAACAGACCTGCTCGCATGCAGAAGGAGTCAATGTCTCTGCATATCCTTGGTTCTGTCCTTCCTTGGTCTATCTGGCTAGCCAGATTTGACAGAATCGGTGGACCATCACTAAAAAACAGCAAACCAACTAGGGAGTTTCCTGCGAAACAGCGCAGGTAACAGCTTTTGAGGGACGCCAAGTCAACTTTTCACAATTAAACAGGTCACTTTCACTTGATTCCCCTGAAAGTAACACGACACAGGCAAGCCCGAATGCATATTACCAACCTAAAGACATGTCTGTCGACGGATAAAAAATTACAATTTGCAGAGGGAAGAAATAAATAGCAAAGATATGAGGAAAAATAGTAGAATAGCAAGGTATATGGCGGCCAAAGCAAAAATCGTATAGATAAATTTAAGTGAAAAGAAGAATGAGATCAGGCGTCATTATCAGCGAAATTAACGAAAGCAGAGAAGCATGAGAGCAATGATTCGCAAACGAAGAAAAATATCCGAGTGGTCCGTTTTCATAGGTTCATATCACACAAGCCATAAGCGGTATTGTTGCGACCATGCAGGAGGAGAGGGATTACAAGAAGTACATAAAAAGCTGCTGGCTGTTGTGTACTTTGAACTTCTTCCCATCCACGAAAAGATTTTCACGCCGTTCACAGTCCTTTAACCAATCGCGCGCACGGAACGCGGCTAGGTGCGCGTAATAGGTGGGTGCCGGATAGGAGACACTGCGAGAACAACGCTGGTAGGCGTGGCAAAGGCAATAGGTAACAGCTTGGAGATCATCGGAACTCCAGTTGCTGTCGTCATAGAGGACATGATAGTGGGCCGGCTTAGAGGTCCCCTAGTGGGCGAAAAAAATGGGTGGAAAGAGGACTATTAGAAGAGGTATAAAAAAAAACAACTTGCCAAATGCACATTTAATTTGGAATTCATACTTTCCGCTGAGATTTCGTGGTACACATGACAATTCCCGCTACTCATTCAGGCCACAACTGTTTATAGAGTTAAATTGTGATAACGAATTCTGGTAAGACATGGAAATGAGCAATTCCTCCCCCCTGGTTATAGATGTGGGCTTACGAAAAAAACTCTCTGAGCCGAACCCCCACATTCGTAAAAATAACGCTTAACATTGTGGGAATTAGCGGATACTTGTCCATTATCTTGTCCGAATACTTTGTTTATCCTGATACTTCACACTTGAACCACCTAACTGTGTCCTTTAGAAGACATACGACGGTTTTTCTGAACCTCAAAGAAAGCTGGCCTAAGAAGTAACTTCCTAGTGGAGAAATCAATCTGCCCAACCATTTATACTCTGCCCCAGCCTTAATCTCGTCAGCATGGGGTCTCGCGGGCAGCTTACAATCCTCAAGCTTTCTTACGGAAGAAGTCTTCTGCACAAAGCATGGCGACCCGGGATCTCTTGTAGGGACTTGCGTAAGCATTAGCCAGTTACCGGCCACCTATCGACTATTTTGAAGGCTAAAGTGGACAACCACTGCCGACAGTTAGCGCAGCAGGTTTCCTATTGGACTTGGTCCTAGGCGGTGTACTCTTTCGAAACCACAGATGCCCTTTCACTTCACACCTTCCACAGGACTCGTGCAAGTCCACAAAGTTCGAGTCATGAGCTGCCTTGGTTCACGAAGCCGCCAAATACGGAAGCTGGGCGAGGTGGCATTAGTGCCAACTGAGATATGACAAGAATAAAAAGGACAAAAAGAGGGGGAAGGCAAAGACGCATGCAGACTAAGTACAGTCAAACGTATGCACCACAAGGATGTTTCAGCCAGCAGCCAACACCTGCTGTAGGTGTTGCAGAAACAGCCGGAACCATTTTAGGTGGTTCGGTTATGCCATTCGCTAACACTAAGTGGAGCCTAATCATCACAGTCCGAATCCGCTTGAGTTAGGTCTACTTGGGGGTGGCTAGGCAAAGAAATGAGCAGACGCGGTTTAACCAGACCAGGAGTGTGTGCGTTCCGCCTTGTACCGCACGAGCGGGCAGTGTGGCAGATGCGCTAGACCAACACGGGGGG